TACAATTAAGATGGATTTGGTCTGAAAGAGATGAAATACTTTGAAAACTGTTAGGATTGTGTTTGTACGTGTTTTAGATGTAAAATACATTAAAATCTTAAATGAAACAAAATCCATTGAAAATTGAATAACGCTTGTTTTAAAGTACTTTAAAATACATCCAACAAATGTTAAATCCAATAACAGCAGATTTTATTTTAGTTTTTAAAATACATCATCAAATAACGCTAGATTTTGAAATACATTCAAATCAATTAAAATACAAGATTGAATAACACCCCCTTAATTTCGATTTCAATTGTCAATATTACATAAATTACCCCTATCAATTTTAATAAAATGTCTCATTTCTTAAAAATTGAAAGGTAATTTGGGAAATTTTTGACATAATTATACCATGATTAAATTTGTACTTCTCTTTTAATAGTAGTAAGATATACTGTATATACAAGATAAATAGGGATCATCATCTTCTAATTGGTCCAATAATTATACTTGTATCCAACATAACTTCATGATAAGGTGTCATTCTCATAACAAGAGTGGCTGCTCAGAATCACTTACTGTCTTGGTTGCATCTTCTCTTGCTTTGCCCCAAATCACAGTGTAAAACCCAAAGCTCAGTATCACTGATCCAATCACACTGCCCACAACAAACATATGCAAAACAATATGAAACTAATGTTCCAATCATCGGTTATTAGTTTCTGAGATTAGCGTTATGCATTCGCAGAATTATGAAACTAAACATTCTAACAACCTAGAGCTAACTTTTTATCACTTTACTTATGTTTTTGAAGAAAAGAGACACTATAGTTGAAAGTATGCAGATGAAAATTATGGTACCTCCCAAGGTGAAGAGCATCGCCGAGGAATATCGCAGACATGGCGACTGCAATTGCAATAGACAACGGTTTGAACAAGGATACGTAGACCGGACCCTTCACATGCAGACCCCATGTGTGAATAACTGAGCCCAATGATGTATCAAATATCCCCTGAAACAGAGTGTTAGTTTTCGGAGCTAATGAATTTGATTTTTCAACTTATATGAGGTTGGGTTGATGTCTCACCGAGTATATCACTGAAGCGAGGGCGAAACCCGGTTTTAGCTGCCAAGAATTCAAGTCTTTTTCTACAATCAGACATACTGTTCCTGAGATGAACATTGCACATAAGTTGTAGCAGAAGACTACGGCTATCTCTTCAGGGTATATCTCCATAATATGAGTCTGAAATAATGTACAGCAGACGAATTTAGCTCAGTGTCATGCGTGTCCATTTACCAACCAACTCAAAATCTCTTTCATGAATCTGTTCATGTTAATGTAATACCTGAAGAATAAACCAGACTGAAAGAAGCAAAAATTGTAAACCGAGCAAAAGGCCTCCAGTTATCCAACTTGACTCAAATGAAGTAAACGATGCAGCAACAAGAAGTTTTGGCCCTTTATACAGAACAATAACCAGTGCACCAGATATAGATACTACAGTGCCAATGATCTTAGCCTGAGTTGCAGAGCTTCTTAACACTACTTGTTCCATCCTTTACGAGTCACCCAAGGAAGCAGAACAAGTCACCTAAGTTAGAGTTACAAACAAACCTCATATCTATCCAACATAACTGATCAAAGAAACGATGGTCCAAGATTACCGCAAGTTTTACTTGTACAATTACTCCATAATTCACTCAGTTAATGACTTGAGAATTTTTCTATGTTTTGATATCATTTCCCATATGGAGTCTTACAGTGTCAAAAACATATCTTTTGTATGGTTAGAGTGGAATCACCCGGTTTAGAAGAAAGTGGAACCTGAAGAAGATGGCAAGCATGAAGGTGAAAGCTGGTGTAAGATTGCTGATAGCAGAGGAAAGAGTAGGGGAACTATATTCTATACCTTTACAACCAGCTACCCGCGACGTGAGCCTGTTTTCCCCTCCAAGTTAGCCAAGTAGACAACATAACCCCAAGAATTCTCATAAAGCTAGAAAGATGAATATACTATACCCGAGAAGCGCAAGTAAGAAAATCTTGAAGAAGAGAGGAGACTTGGCTGAAGGTAAACTTCTTGACCTGCATATGTAAAATTAGTAAGTACATATTCTTGAAACCAAGCAACAGTAGCTGATCAAGGGGACAAAGTACCTTCCAAAGATGAGGGAAAGTAGAAGAAGGACAAGTGTAGCACCAACATAAGAGTAGAACACAAATACATAGAAGCTAAATCCTCTCAAGGTAGCAGCTTTGTACAGTGTACTCGATCCAACCGTAGTACACTCGACAGCAACCATAGCAGCGAATGGCACAACATCCCGTTTAAAGTACTTCCAAGCCACCGTATCTTCTCTCATAATAAGATTATTTTGATATCCAGATTCTCTGAAAGTCCTCTCAAAAGCTAAAGTGAGTTTAGACGCAACCATGGTATTGGTGGGTTAACTCCAAGACATCATCAGTGACGCAATATGAAAAATATCTCAACTTTACCAAATACTTCTCACCACAAGGACTAGGGACCCCATGAAAAGGAACTTTACCCATTATAGCTCTAATACCTTCATCTCAATCATTCATTTCTACCTTCCCACTTCAAAATTTTATCTAAAAAAAAAAAAAGAGAACTTTCATTGGAACATTCTTCCCCAGTGGTTAAGACTTATATATATATATATATGTTGTATCAAATGCTCAAAACTCAGCTCTGCATCAACAATCACATTCAAGTTCACGGCTCACCAATCTCAGCTTCATCATAAGAGAACAATCTTCAGAGAGGAATATACAGTATGATACGATTTATTGGATCTTTCCACAGTAATCAATCCCAAATCTGAAACCTCCATCAATAGTAACTAAACCTAGAGAGCATTACCTAAGCGAAATCCAACAGCAATATCATCTAAATCATCACTTACCTTTGATTCCTCCGTGATCGCACATTTGTTCAGCCGTAGACGACGGCGAAAACGGAGCCACAAGCTCTGTCTAATTTGTATTTGTAATTGTAATTTGTATATTGAAAATGATTAAAATATTATTATTTATAGCTGGATTTACCAATATGATTCATTTTCAATGTTTTTTTTTATTAATTAGAAAATTGTTTACGAAATTCGTGAAGTTTCCAAAATTAGTCAAAAAATATCTCAAAAATAATTTTAAGCATTCTTCAAAATACCGAACTTAATTTGTTATATATCTCAAAATTTTGTTTCAAACTTAGAAATAAAATAAAACTCTCTTTTCACTCTTTAGAATTTCTCAATATGTACACTATTCATTTCTAATCTAGAGATCAAATCACTAATGAAGTAAGTTTTTGAATAGATCTATGATTTTGTGAGTTACTTTCAGTATATGATTCGGGGTTCTTAACTATTGTTACTACTAGGTAATGTCCCGCGCATATGTTGTATATTTATTTAATTATTTTAATTTATTTATTACTTATAAAAAATAGATTAAATAAATTTTAAAGCTTATGACATTTTTACATGTTATTTATTTAAATCATACAATAGAAGCATACATTCATATCTTTTGAATTTATTAGTTGATTAATTGTTCAATTAATCAATTTTGATAGTAATTTTCTTTAGTACTTTTAAGTATTTTTTGATAAAACAATAATATTTTTAATGATAAAAATAGGAATGATATTGGGAGAATTTAAAAAATACTCCTTTAAAAATACCACTTTTTAAATTTACCCCCTTTTCAAACTTTATCAAAACAACCACTAAAATGTTTAAATTTATCCAAATAT